TTGGGGTTATTTGGGGTCCTGATTACGAAAACGACACCCGTTTTTAGCGCTGGCGCCATTTGGCGCCACAGCTGTTTTCACCAAATCTGCTGAAACTTCGTCATTTGGGGTTATTTGGGGTCCTGATTACGAAAACGACACCCGTTTTAGCGCTGGCGCTGGCGCCATTTGGCGCCGTTTGGCGCCAATTTGGCCACGGCTGTTTCCACCAAATCCGCTGAAAACGTGTGTATAGGGGTTATTTGGGGTCCTGATCACGAATATAACATCCAGTCTTGACGCCGGCGCCATGTGGTGTCACAAACAACACTTCACAGTCAGAGCGTACTCTTAGGCACCTTTCTCAGAGCGCCGACTGTCAGACCGTGGAAAAGGTCATCGAATCGGAGACTTTCCCACGACAGGAAGGAGCCAGACCGTGGAAAACTGTGAGCTAAGCCAGAAGCATATTTCACGTTTTCACTGGAGATGCCTGTATGCGTTGGGCAGAGCAGCAATTCGACTGTAAGCTCTCCAGCTGTCACTGAGGATGGTAGTACCGGGCTCGATGTACTACTTCATGATGAGCCGCAGTAGAGTTGAAACGTCTTTCCTTCGGACCATCCGAAGGAGTCCACTTCCTCTTTCAATGCCTCCAAACAGCCACTTGTGCCTGCGTACCCAACGTCGGCGGTTGTATTTGCGTTTGATAACCAGTGTTTCGTCAATTTCCATCTCGCACCCGAACCTTCCGATGATCGGCGGGTTCCTCCTGAAGTGCCCCACACATCGTCGCGGAAGAACCGCTCCCACTGAATTGAACTGGTGTGGCCGACATTGAGCTCGTATTCCTTGTCCTTCACCTTGCCCATGTCGCGCAGCCAGAAATAGGGCAGTGCGAACACCGTGGACTCAGGAAAGTTACAGTTCTCGAAAAAGGAATCCTTTCGGGCATGAACGTAGACCCTGGTCTCGTTCGACGGTCCAGTGCGGCACGCTCGACGATTGCAAATCCAGCCGTTGTGCCGTTCGTCGTTGATCAGGCTCATGGATCGTTGACATGAATGGCATAGTGGCACAGACATCAACCCCATGGATCGCAACCAGTAAGTGCAGATTATTCAACTTGAGCGTCTCGTACACGTCCTTCAAGGCTAAGCCCAGTAGCTCTCATTGACGATTGTGTCGCTAAAGAGTAGCAAGAGCCATTCTCCGTGTCCTATTGTCGAAAAGGTGAAGTATGCTTCTGGCTTAGCTCAGGTTTTCCACGGTCTGGCTCCTTCCTGTCGTGGGAAAGTATCCGATTCGATGACTTTTTCCACGTTTCAGCAGATATTGAGAGAAAAAAGCCTGTGGCGCCAAGTTGGGGCCAAACTAGGGGGTGCAATATCCATTCATATCAAGGAAATTCCTTGTTTAGAAGTCTTACCTCGGCGCACACAAATATCCTCAGATAGCACGCCTAGGAGACTTCGCTTGTCGGGCGCATTAAGAACGGATGTTTGATGGTGGCAGGAAGATCGGTTCCTTCATTCTCGGGTTCGCATAATAACTGTAAGCTCGATTATCACAATCACAAAACGGGGTCATGTGGTCCAATTAGTTACCTTCATGTATCCCGCTCAATAAAAGATATGTTTCTTCGAAGGTATTGTAGAGATAATTGCATTGGATATCCAAAACAGTAGCTGTTACGGCTTTTGTCTTTGCGTACAATGTTTTCGCTCGGACATCAGGCTGTCGCCAGTGAACGGGGAACATCTCTTTTCAGGCAGAACGAAGACCTGATACGGTTTAGGCAGGAGCAACTCGGAGATAGGCGAACAGTTTCGGATAACACTGATGCAGAGATCTTGGTTTCCTCCTCCTCGGAAACTAAAGGCAACTCCTTTTTTGGATCCAGATGCTGTTGGGCGTCTGTATGAGAGAGGGAGCTGCTTATGTTCTTCAGGACTTAGCGATTACGTACCACGTATGCTTGTCGCGTGTTTCTTGGGAGTGTCCTCTGCTCGTCTTATAATGCACTCAAACGGCATCATAGCTACGGTAAAGGCTGCTGTAAAGCGATGAACCAAAAAATTCAATGTGGGGAAAGTAATGCATTGATCATCCACTTGATTAGAGCTCTGCTTACCTTCTCGCTGTGAGGATCCTGCAAAGGATGTGAGGAATTCGGGAGAGCAATAAAAGAATCTCTATAAGAAAAGTGATGCTTCAGTTTTCAGTTTTTCTTTAGACTGAACACTTTCAAATGTGTTGTATCAGATGTTCTGGTGGTTAGATGATAGTGGCAAGAAATTCTCTTATCCCGCGTCTGTTTCACTGCACTAATGAGTGCGCACGGTCTGAAAGAGAAACCCAAACATTTCATCGAATCCGAGAGTGGAACTTATTTTGCCCGCTGAGCTTGGGCGCTGGCAGAGTTTGCAGAATAGGAAACGGATTGGCTATTTCGGAATCGCAGCCACACACGGGATTATTCAGAGAGCTGTGATACGAAGGTTCACCTGTGCTCAGGATTACGTGTGCTTTGGAAAGAATTGCATCGCTACACAGTAATGCGGAACGTGTAATGTCTAGAAGGAAGGAACTTCTGATCCATAATCATGTGTCCTTACGAACAAGGGACAGAAATTTCTTCCGCTTCCTTTACAGCTTTCTGCAAACCATTAACTCCTCATCCCAGAAAGTAGGTGAGATGGAAAATGTCACATGCTCCAAATATGCCTATAGCTTGTTTGGGAAGTGTTTTCAATAAGATTGCCGAGGAGTGAAATCACAAAGCGTGATCGGAGGGATATTTGAGAGGCCTCAGCAAAAAGTAAAACTCTAACGCTTTTAACAAAGCATGAATACTCGCAGATTATTATAGTTATGCTCGCAAGGAAAAGAGATCAGGCATCTCAACTTCACACAACTCGTGAATCGTGAATTGTATGCTGCTATAGTAAGTCCGACGTTGCGAGCCATATTTCTTCATGTGCTCAAAGCTTTTCAGACGAGGCAATTGCTTCTGTGTGTTGAGGCGGCGAGTTCCGCCTTCACCACATCATCTGAGAAAAGCACCAATTTGGATTCTGAGAGTACGGTAGTCTATCATCGTAGCGCTGGTTATAAGGTCTTATATAGTTATCACTCGAGGCAGTCTTTATCAGACTCGCGGCACCGCGAATAGCGCGGTGTGCAATGCCGCCAGACTTTCTGTTGAATAAAGCATCTGTGGCGCGAGGGCAGCAATCGTGCCGTAGGGCAAACCTCTCGACCGGGCACGTACAAGTTAAATCTTCTTGTGGAAAAAATTGATTATGCTAGTTCTTGGTTAACCACTTGTGTATGTGAAATGCGCGCGTGTCTGGCAGCTACAGAAAATGCTGAAGCCCAAGATTGTACATGTTCAGTCTAGTAACGATACTAACACCTCATTGTGCAGTAATAAATCAATGTAAGTTTCGACACAGGACTCGCATATCTCGTCTCTCCAGACCAATAAGCTACGAAAGTTCGGAAAAATCTATAAGATACTGGCACATCTCTAATTATTCATCGTTTCTACAGAAAGCAATCCATTCAGGAAATTTGATTTGTTAAAAGTTTGTTGTTGGGGCTCGAGCCGAGGACGATGAACTGGGTGATCTCTTAAGTACTCACTGGTAATGTGACGATCGATATGGAGTTAATAATTGAGCTTTATCTGTCAAATGATGTTTTTTGACTTATCTCCATCAGTGATGGACACAATATACGTTCCTACCTCGCTCCTTATAGGCTGTGTATCCTGCGAAATCTAGTGCTTGATCGCTAGGCTTCTTAAATAACATTGTTACTTTTACAATACCCTAATCAACATTTCTACTGCAGATGCTCACACCCGCTCACTGCTGTCTTGTGCGCGAACGCGATGTATGTTAAATATGCTCAAGTGAAAAATCTCGCGTCACTAAACGCATCTTTATCTTAGCTCCCGTTAAAGAATCTCGCTCACGTCAGTGAATCACGGTTCGGTTCCTCTCCAATATATTTCCTCGACTTCCCACTGCAACGCTTATTTAGCATACTTCAAAAAACATCAGCTCTAGTGAATTTGCTGCCGTTCGCGCGCTTGCTTATATCGAATTCTCGTCGGTGATCACTACACAACCAATCAGTATAAACTCAGAGACCGTTGATTAGAGAAGCAAGTCGAAATATGGGGTGGAGGCTGTATGAACATGCGAGCATCTAGCTGTTTTTTGTATGATAAAACGACGCAGCGCTTGCACTCGCGTCAACGCGCTATATACTATATGGTAGGCTTGTTCTGAATAGAGCCACTATGTATGATAAAGTAGTTGTACGAGCAACGCAGCTGGAGGATTCAAGCATATTCATTAATTCAGGATTCGACGAATAGGCTCCTCAAAATTTCAATCTGCGCTGCGGATTCGCCTCATGAAATGCTTGAATTGCTTCAGACTAATCTGATCCAAGAGCAATAATAAAACTGAGATGAGACGACAGCTGTTAATTCCTACCAAGATCAATGGTCGCGGCTAAACTGTTACAGTCCATTGTTTTAGTGATTGTATCTCTCTCTCAGTTTCAAACGGCGAGATACGGTTCGATCTAATGCTCCTAACTCAGAGTGAACGGTTTCATAGCTAGTGCCGGGGTAGAGGCTGAGAATTAATTGTATCCATCGTGGCCTTTTCTATGACTCAGACATAGCTCAATTAGCCGGAGACGCTTTTGTTTTAATTGTAGTTCAATACAGAGAATCTTCGCGTGCGACGTTTTTCGGGAGGAGGGGGGAGGGAAATATTGAAAATAGCAGAGCACGCTAGTGGACTGTGTGTGGGAAAAATTTGATAAATAAAAAATGGGCATATAAATTGCACAAGGATACATCACAGATATTTGACGATTTATTTAAAAGTTCCGTTACAATTGTACATATAACTATAGAACTGTTGATTTGGTACCGCACTTGACTATAGCATGCTCAATGAGAATTGACATCTCTTTAGCTGTTGAAGCGAATTCCTTCAATTGAAGTTGGCTTTAGTACCGACAATAGCTTGTGCATGCTCGACTTCACGTTTTCGCCCAGTGCCACCGGCACCGGCTGCTGCAGTGCCACCGGCACCGGCTCCTCCAGTGCCACCGGCACCGGCTCCTCCAGTGCCACCGGCACCGGCTCCTGCAGTGCCAGCTGCCCCTCCTCCAGCGCCAGCTGTCCCGGAATTCGGAGCGCAGGCCTGTAACAGAATACAATGTTATGTTATCATGCCGGGAATTCTTTTTCTAACAACAAAATTTTCAAGTGTCATAGTTTGTTCCAACTGTTCATGAATTTTATATCCTCATATGTTCACAATCTGTGGCCCTAAATTATCATTAGCACACTTACCAGCGAGGTCGCGATGACACTGAGAATAATTAGCAAATGAACCATGGCGATTTGTTACGCAGCGACACGGTCAATAATTCGTTTCACTAGGTAGATAAATGTTAGTCAAAGCCAATGATCAGATTATGATTTAAACAGCGCGAGTACTTTCTCAAAATACAATATGTAAAATACAATACGAAATCCTATTAGCTCCAATCTTAATTTTGCCTCACCAATATCGTTGCGGTCGCAACTTCAAACGTTAGGTTTTGAAACCAGGGGAGTTTCTGAGTCCAAGAAACACTGTACGAAAAGAAGATCATTCCGTTTTCTCCACAGATCTTCAAAAGAATCTGCTAACAAAGACGTCTTCACGATGAACGGCCCTTCTCATTTTTCATTGCTTTAGAAATAATAAAGCATAAGGATATTATGAAACTTTTCTAAAGGTAATTTCGCCATTGATTCGTATAGGAACGAGTTTACATGGGTCGCAGTGATTACTGGTATGAATGGACCTCTGTGAGAGCAAACAAGTAGTACTGTTGGAGGTCGGCTGGTCGGCCGGTATTTATGCTCACCATTGCGGTTCAGATTTCAGGAACAATGCCTCTGTGACGCTTTTCGCAGGTGTTTTCGTGACCAAATATATTAGCGAAGCAATTAGCTAACGTTGGTACACAAAATGATTTTGTTTACCAACGTTTCAGAGAAAAAAATGGAATAAAGTTTTTATGGAATATCATGAAATATTCTCCGGAATGGTGGTTGCGGAATTTCATTATCCATGATGGCTTTCTTGGTAGTGTCCACACATTGTTGCGACACTGTTGTGAAGATGAGTTTGGATTTGAATTGCAGCAATGAGGGAATTCAATCGACCTCTCACTTCAGCCGGTTAGAAAATTTCAGTGCATACCAAAGCTGGCACTTCCCATTATAATGGGTCTCCCAATTCCTGTTCGAGTTCCTATTGAATTCGAACTCCTCCTGTTTAGGATCGCTTAATTGCGGAATAAGATGACACATTAAAAATGCATGGGGTGCAGTGACATGGTCTCATCAGGAGAGCAATCCCGCAGAAAGTTACTTAATTGTTATTAGATGATGAGATGAAAAAAGGATTTTGCTTCATTATCTTCACGTAGGTCAGTATCCGCTGTTGCAAGGAGGACAGTGGACAGAACCGCTTGAAACATCTCGCACATCTCCAAATGCACGTCCAACCTCATTTTGCATTCCCGACTCGCAACTTTCTGAGTATGACGGCGTGGACCAAGATGCTGCATCCACCGTATAGATTTAGCATTGCTCCATCGGATTATTGCCTCCACGGGCTCTCAAATAGCAGCTGCGAGAGAAAAATGTAAAAGGTACAATCACGCAAAAGCCGAATTCTCCAAATTCTCCAAGCCCCAGCTTCAATCATTCTGGGAGGCAATATCCAACCATTTTCAGTAAGAACATGCGTATCACTGTCCATGCGGTGGTACAGTGTTGATCAGTTGTTGCTTGGGAGAGTGAAACCTGAATAAACTAAAGTGTTAAATGCGGACAAGATTTATAGGTTGAGCCAATATTTCTTATCGATCCTCTTGCGATTTTCGGATAATCCCGAAATTCACTCGCCACTCAACAGTTGCCCATTTTCGAAAATTCCAATTTATCACGTCCATGTAAAGAGGGGCGGAAGTGGTGTAGTGGCAAGTGGCGCGCTTACCACGCGAGCGGTCCGGGGATCAAATCCTGGGTCGTGAGTCGCCCGGGCCAACCAAGCCTTCCATCCCTCCGGGGTCGGTTAATTGGTACCAGACTTGTCTGGGAGGATAAAAACACTGACTTGTACATCGGCTGGCCCCCGCAAGTCATTGTATAGGCCACATCGCATTCAAACGCCACTACGAATGTACAAATGGAAGTAGAATGCGTGCCGCATCCCAAAAAGGGATTGATCAACGGCAAATGCTTTATCCTTTATCCTTTATGTAAAGAGGACTGCATAGAAACCTGAGTGAAAAAATGAAGCATTTGTTTATCCATGAAATAATCCTCAAAAAGCGTCACAAAGGCACTGTTCCTACCCTTTGAATCGCAATGTCGCGAGCATAAATAACGGCCGACCTGCCCACCTCCAACAGTGCTACTTGTTTACTCTCATAGAGATTCAGTTACATTAGTAACCACTCTGCGGCCCCCTAGCTTTACGAGTCGGTAGCAAAATTTCCTGTGAGAAGAGTTTATGATAACCATTGCGCTTTATTATTTCCGAAGCAATATAATGGCGAATCAAAAGAGCCGTTTGTCATGAAGATGTCTTTGTTAGCAGATTCTTTCAAAGTCCTGTGAAGAAAACGAAATGAATATTTTTTTATTCAGCGTTCACTAGACTAGAAAACTCTTACTGGTTTGAGAAGCTAAACTTTGAAATTGCGCCCACAGCGATATTGGTGAGGCAAATTTTAGACTGGTGCTGTTAGGATTACGTATAAGAAAGTACTTGCTGTTGTTTGAACCTATAATCTTATCACTGAATTCTTAGAGGTTTGACTAACTTTCATCCACCTAGTGAAAAGAATTATTGACCGTGTCGCTGCGTAACAAATCGCCATGGTTCATTTGGTAATTATTCTCAGTGTCATCGCGACCTCGCTGGTAAGTGTGCTAATAATGATAATTTAGGGCCACAGATTGTGAACATATGAGGATATAAAATTCATGAACAGTTGGAACAAACTATGACACTTGAAAATTTTGTTAGAAAAAGAATTTCCGGCAGAAACTCCCCTGGTTTCAAAACCCAACGTTTGAAGTTGCGACCGCAACGATATTGGTGAGGCAAAATTAAGATTGGAGCTAATAGGATTTCGTATTGTATTTTACATATTGTATTTTGAGAAAGTACTCGCGCTGTTTAAATCATAATCTGATCATTGGCTTTGACTAATAATTATCTACCTAGTGAAACGAATTATTGACCGTGTCGCTGCGAAACAAAACGCCATGGTTCATTTGCGTAATTATTCTCAGTGTCATCGCAACCTCGCTGGTAAGTGTGCTATATGATAATTTAGGGCCACAGATTGTGAACATATGAGGATATAAAATTCATGAACAGTTGGAACAAACTATGACACTTGAAAATTTTGTTAGAAAAAGAATTTCCCGGCATGATAACATAACATTGTATTCTGTTACAGGCCTGCGCTCCGAATTCCGGGACAGCTGGCGCTGGAGGAGGGGCAGCTGGCACTGCAGGAGCCGGTGCCGGTGGCACTGGAGGAGCCGGTGCCGGTGGCACTGGAGGAGCCGGTGCCGGTGGCACTGGAGGAGCCGGTGCCGGTGGCACTGGAGGAGCCGGTGCCGGTGGCACTGGAGGAGCCGGTGCCGGTGGCACTGGGCGAAAACGTGAAGTCGAGCATGCACAAGCTATTGTCGGTACTAAAGCCAACTTCAATTGAAGGAATTCGCTTCAACAGCTAAAGAGATGTCAATTCTCATTGAGCATGCTATAGTCAAGTGCGGTACCAAATCAACAGTTCTATAGTTATATGTACAATTGTAACGGAACTTTTAAATAAATCGTCAAATATCTGTGATGTATCCTTGTGCAATTTATATGCCCATTTTTTATTTATCAAATTTTTCCCACACACAGTCCACTAGCGTGCTCTGCTATTTTCAATATTTCACCCCTCCCCCCCCCGAAAAACGTCGCACGAAATTCTTTGGAATAATTATACTCATAGTACAATATAGAAAAAGAAAGGTCACTCCTCTACACATATAGAGCGAAATTACAGTACTCGCCGTTTGAAATCGAAAATTCACGCGAATAACGCGAATCCTCGTTAATTTCGTGAATTCGTTATAACTCGGTTCAAAATTGAGCTTTCGAGAATCCGAAGATATCTTTGAATTCAGCTCGTCGGACACTATAAGAATGTGCTTTGATACTTTGGAAAAGCTCCATATAGGATTGCGCCATGCACTCGATTTTCATCTCAAAAAGTAGTTGCTCGCATGTTATCCCTACTATATATAAAACGCTATGTCTGTCTGTTGTGTTGTGTGTGTGTGCGTGTGTCACGAAATTCATAGCACGCGTCGCAGCAGTCGTTAGGAGCTGATTTTTTGATATGATATAGGGGGTGGGACGGGAACATATTTGGTGGGGTCAGAAAGTGATAACGACTGATAAGAGCTGATAAGAGGCGCTAAACGCAAATTTCACGAAATTCATAGCGCGCGTCCCAGCAGCAGTGGGGCGTTGGTTCCTTGAAGTGATGTGCAGGGTGGGACGGGAACATGTTTGGTGGGGGACAGAAAGTGATAACGACTGATAAGAGCTGATAAGAGGCGCTAGAACGCAAATTTCACGAAATTCATAGCGCGCGTCCCAGCAGCAGTGGGGCGTTGGTTCCTTGAAGGGATGTACAGGGTGGGACAGAAACATGTTTGGTAGGGGACAGAAAGTGATAACGGCCAATAAGGACTGATAACAACGATATGTGTACGACTGTGGAGATAAGTCAAAAACACATTTGAAATAGCGCAATTCACTTCCATATCATTCTTCAGCAAAATTACCATTCGGCCGCTACACTCCCCCGAGTTCCAAAAAATGTCCGATGGATGTTTTAAGAAACATGATAATGAGTGCTGGGTATTTAGATTCCAACATGCGTAGTATTGAAGATTGTTCGACCGCTAAATTATTTTGACATTAGATGCATGGTGGTTGTTTACAGACATCACTTTAGCTCCGCACTCCACCGCGCGTATCAAGCGGACAGTCAGCTAACGCATTTCACGAAGAATTTTATTTCGTACCGGTGGAATTTGACCCTCCACCGACTGCCCAGTTTCACCGAAGCCTGCCATGCACGCGGTAGTGTGCGGAGCTAAAAACTGGTGAGTATATAATCCCGCTTATGCGGGCTGACCGCTACACACAGAGAAGGGCCTCAAAACTTACCCCAGAATGCGCCACGTACTCAATCTCATCCACTACATTGTGAGATTAGATGAATGTTATTTTCCGAATTCTTAGATCTTCATTTCGTTTTTAAGCGCTTACGTGTTCCCTCTGCTCTCAATATCCCATCCTCTGTATATCAAGTGGAATCTTTGAACAGTTCTCAGCAGGCATAGTGGGCCTATTATGTGACATTTTCCATTTTCAGAGGAGATGTTTTGCAGAAAGCTGTGAAGATAGCGAACAATTTCCTTCACTGTCGTAGACTATGGTCACTTGTCTGTAGGAATTATGTGGAAAACTCGGTCGCAAGTGAGCGTTCCTTCCGTGGTGTGGCCCCAAACATGCCTCCTCGTCATGCCCTTGTGGAAAGTTCAGATTTTTTGCATTTCCAGATGAACTCGCAGACCTGAAATGTGCCCCGTTAGCTTCCCCGAAAAATGCTATCGAATGATATGCATTACTTTCCCCAGTTGAAACTTTGGTTTTTCACCGTTTTCAGCCTTCCCCTATTGCCGGATTGGGCACTATCCCACGATTACTGCCCCAAAATCTCAAAGTTTCATTTTTCGTCGAAACTTTGTCTATTGGGGTAATTCGATGCCCTGATTACGAATATGACATTCATTTTTGATGCTGGTGTCATTTGGCGCCATTTGGCGCCAATTTGGCGCCACAGCTGTTTTCACCAAATCTGCTGAAACGTGGAAAAAGTCATCGAATCGGATACTTTCCCACGACAGGAAGGAGCCAGACCGTGGAAAACCTGAGCTAAGCCAGAAGCATATTTCACGTTTTCGACAACGGAGAATAACGATGGCTCTTGCTACTCTTTAGCGACACAATCGTCAATGAGAGCTACTGGGCTTAGCCTTGAAGGACGTGTACGAGACGCTCAAGTTGAATAATCTGCACTTACTGGTTGCGATCCATGGGGTTGATGTCTGTGCCACTATGCCATTCATGTCAACGATCCATGAGCCTGATCAACGACGAACGGCACAACGGCTGGATTTGCAATCGTCGAGCGTGCCGCACTGGACCGTCGAACGAGACCAGGGTCTACGTTCATGCCCGAAAGGATTCCTTTTTCGAGAACTGTAACTTTCCTGAGTCCACGGTGTTCGCACTGCCCTATTTCTGGCTGCGCGACATGGGCAAGGTGAAGGACAAGGAATACGAGCTCAACGTCGGCCACACCAGTTCAATTCAGTGGGAGCGGTTCTTCCGCGACGTATGTGTGGGGCACTTCAGGAGGAACCCGCCGATCATCGGAAGGTTCGGGTGCGAGATGGAAATTGACGAAACACTGGTTATCAAACGCAAATACAACCGCCGACGTTGGGTACGCAGGCACAAGTGGCTGTTTGGAGGCATTGAAAGAGGAAGTGGACTCCTTCGGATGGTCCGAAGGAAAGACGTTTCAACTCTACTGCGGCTCATCATGAAGTAGTACATCGAGCCACGGTACTACCATCCTCAGTGACAGCTGGAGAGCTTACAGTCGAATTGCTGCTCTGCCCAACGCATACAGGCATCTCCAGTGAAAACGTGAAATATGCTTCTGGCTTAGCTCACAGTTTTCCACGGTCTGGCTCCTTCCTGTCGTGGGAAAGTCTCCGATTCGATGACCTTTTCCACGGTCTGACAGTCGGCGCTCTGAGAAAGGTGCCTAAGAGTACGCTCTGACTGTGAAGTGTTGTTTGTGACACCACATGGCGCCGGCGTCAAGACTGGATGTTATATTCGTGATCAGGACCCCAAATAACCCCTATACACAGCGGATTTGGTGGAAACAGCCGTGGCGCCAAATTGGCGCCAAACGGCGCCAAATGGCGCCAGCGCCAAATAGCGCCAGCGCTAAAAACGGGTGTCGTTTTCGTAATCAGGACCCCAAATAACCCCTATACACACAGCGGATTTGGTGGAAAGAGCCGTGGCGCCAAATTGGCGCCAAACGGCGCCAAAAGGCGCCAGCGCCAGAAAGGG